CTTCCCATGTGTGTGTGTACATGTGTGTGCGCGTGTGTTTTACTTTCTGATAACAAAAAGTTTACTCTAGTGCCAGGTAATATTTTACAAAAGAAGATCCCTGATATGTAAATAAAACTATGTTAAAGAATTATTTGTAGTAAAGAATCTGTGGAAATGTAATGAGAAAAAAAAGAAAATGTGCTGTTTATTCCTTTCAGGAAATTCCTCTATTCCCCCTGGTTTTCATCAGCTATAGTTTTGGCAGGCTGTGGGCATGGAAATGTGAAGACATCACTCTCAAAGAGAATTATAATAATCACATCTGATTTATATAGATGTCACCATAGGGTTAGGCAGTTGAAAATTCCAGCAATCAAAATGAATAGGCACTTAAAATTAAGGACATGCCGTACTTTCACTAACACAGGTTTTTAAAATTACCAGTAGTTCACAGATTTTTTTCATACTTCTAAAGTATTCATAATGGCAAGACAGACAGATTTGTATCTTAGAAGATGAGAACCAAAGCAAGCTACAGATATTGGTATACTTCCTACAAACTCACTATGAAGGTTTGATTAATCTGAATTTTTTTTCACCAATATTATTTTTACTTTGATGATGAACTACATCAGCAACAACCTACAATTTTTACAACTTAACGACTGAGAGATTAAAAAAAATAACGCAGTCTGTGGCACATCAACACACTCCCTAGGATTTTTTGAGCATATTCTATGTGTACAAGATACTAAGGATACTGAGGAAATAAAAGATACTGTGTTTAGACTCAAAACTTATAGTATAGTTGGGATGTGCTGGAGTGGATTTGTGGCGTTCCAACTGAGCAGTAAAAATAGGTAGATTTCCTAAACAGGCCAAGAGAAGAGCCCAAATGAAATTTAAGGGCCAGCATAGAAGACAATTAGAAGGCTAGCCTGGGTTCCCAAAGTAGCGTGATGGAGAGCAGCAGGTTGAAGAAAAGACAGATGATTAGCATTGGAACCAAGCTGACCAGGACTTAATATCGAGTTCAGGTATGTCACCAATGGAGAGCTACCAAAATTTGACCTTTTTTTTATTAAAACTAACAATTAGTAATACAGTAATATTAACCTTTTCTAAGAGGAGGAACTCATGACAATGAAAATTCTAAACTATGAAACACCTTTATGGGCACACAGAATGTATCATGAACTAAAGTAGATACTGAAACTGGTACGTGAAAAGATAGAGAAAATAATATTCTGGTAGGCCTCACTACTAGTAGTAAAGGAGAAACACATTTATTCTTTGAGACTGAAGATCAGCTGTACCACTGCTAGCTTTCTGATGGACATGTAAATAGAGCGGAAAATACTAACAATAATCCTGCTAATCTATTTTGAGTACATATTAAGGCTGCCTAGCTTCTGGTATTCTGACCTTTCACCTATATTGCAATGGTTTGTTTATTCTTTATTGAAAAAAATTAGAGATTACAAATCTTAATCAATTATAAATCCTACAATGAAGCTCCAGAACCAAAAAATATAAATAAGCACCTTATCAGTTACTGACCAGAAAGTCAACCCTTAGAAAAATATATACTATCATACTTCTTTTTCTCCTGTAAGACTCCCCCCATGCAGGGCCAAGGGCATATCACCAAAGTCATGTCCCCCCAAAGCTGGTTTTCTCCTTTTTCCTTCAAGGAAAAAAAAAAAAGATTAAGGGGATAACCCTAAATGCTTTTTTAAATTAAAATGAACTCAAAGAAGTGAGCATATGTGACACTAAAGTCAGACTTCCTCTCTGCATAATATGGAGAACTAATATCCTTTTACACCTGGCATCAAACCAAAGTGACCTCCCCTAACACCCTACGTACACGCATGCGTGCACACACACACACACAGCACCTCCTCTCCCTCTCCATAGTCCAAGATGTTCCAGACAACATAACAAACCACAGGGGTTGGGAATGATTCATATGTTTCCACTCTCCAACCAAAAATGAGCAAAAAAGTTTCCACTTAATTTATAATCAAAATTTTCTGCACATTTCCTAAAAAATTAAAGGGTAACTATTCAAAATCTGGCCTTTTATTCTCCAAAAATTACTGATTAGTTACAGACTAAAGCATCTTTCTGTAAAATGCTTTTTCGCTCCATCCACCCCTGGGGATGAGAGCTATAGCCTGCATGATGCCAAATATCTAATCAATCATCCAATGTTTTCGGATGTTTTCAAAGAGCGGGTGTTCTGTAGATACAGGCTTATTCTATCCAGCCCTTTGTTATCTCGAATGGACATATGGATACAGATTTTTCTGTTTGGAATATTTCTCAAGGCCAATGCCTTATTATAGTTCCAACACCTGCAAATATTTGGCAGAGATTGTTCCATCCTCTTCACATCCCCCACTCTTCCTGCAACCCCGCCTCCATCTCTTGCCATTATGAAGCTGTAAGTTTATACACTATGTCCTTTTCCTTGATGTTGTTAATGTTTTATCTGTGACCCATGAAATGTGCAGTTGCTGGAGCAGAAAGTTAGGTTTCAAATCACATTTCATGGGAGAAACTTAGGTTCAAAACAAAGTGGCAGCAGGGTAGAATAGCTCGCCTACTAATCAGTTCTGTGACTTTAATCAAATCACTCAACTTATTGAAATATAAGTCTTCAAAAGTACAGGAGAAGGGGGTCAAAAGGTACAAACTGCCAGTTATGAAACAAATAAATCATGGGGATGTAATGTATAGCATGGTGACTCCAGTTAATAATACTGTATTACAGAAAACTGCTTATAAAAAAATCATAGAAGTTCTCATTCAAAGAAAAGAATTTTTGACATTCTACATGGCGACACTCTACCCTTCTTCTGTGATCATTTTGCTATATATACAAATAGAGAATCATATTATATACCTAAACTTAGTATGACATTCTATGACTATACCTCAATTTAAAAATGTGAATAAATTTAAATAAATGAGAACTACCTGAAATAGATTGGAAAGAAAAAAATAAAGTGCAGGGCTTCAACTAAGCCAAGGCCTAACATAAGTGATTTTAAGAATTGGAGTCAATCAGATTATTTCTCTCTTCAGTCTTAATATGAATGAAAATATCACCCTGAAATCAACAGATAAACACTGGAATTTTGTATGGTTTTATAAATATTACACATAAATAATAAACAAAAGAGGCACAAATCAGTGTCAGTATGATTCCTCTTACTATTGCTAACAACAAATTACATGAATTTTCCAAAGCATGGCACGAGGAAATTTCCCCTCCTTCTTGTCCTCCTTCTATCCTCTAAAACAACCTTTCAGCTTGGCTTGTATATCCAGGGCTTACTTGGGGGTAATAATCTTATTCTTCAGTAAACATTTTATTTTTCTGGAATCTCTGTTAAGTAGCAGCTTTAAGATAAGTCAAGTCACAGAGCAGGCAAGCATTGAGGGAAAAAATTCCTGGATCTGACATTCACTAAAATCAACATGAGGTAGTAGAATTTTAAAAAAAATAGGCTCTTGGGGCAATCAAGATGTGGTATATATACAGAATGGAATACTACTCAGAGATCAAAAAAGAAACTTATGCCATTTGCAACAGCATAGAAGGGATTATGTTAAGTAAAATAAGCTAGAAGGAAAAAGATAAATACAGAATGGTGTCACATGTGTGGAATATGGAGAAACCAAATGAAGGTCAAAGAAAAATAAACTTTAAAACCAACCCTTGAATGCTGACTATATATCTGAGGCATCTGGGGGAGGCGGGAAAGAGAGAGAGAACAATGGATTAGGACTCTGGGTGCTTCCGTAAGGAGTGCTACGGTCATTAGACTTGAGGGGAGAAATTCTACATGGTCAAAGCTCTAACAAGGATGTAAAAAAGGATGGCACTTAAAAAAAAAAAAAGGGCCCTCCCGGTGGCCAAGGGGTTAAGTCTCAGCACTTTGAAGGTATCCACAGCCACTGCAGCATGAGTTCATCCCTGGCCAGAGAGCTAACCCACATGGCTCAGCACACCTCTCCTGTATGCCTGCTGCACCCCTCAGCGGTGTATTTCAGTCAGTCTGCCACCTCCGGTTCCCCACTCTGTCTCTGGTGAATCCTCTCACCCCCTGCACCTCTGGCTACTACCCCAGTTCTTGTATGCATTCAGTAAATTGTTTTTATGAAAGTTGTAAAAAAAAAACAAACTGGCACTTAGATGGCACAACAACTTTAGAAAACTCTGCTCACTGAACATTAGTAAGACTAGGAACATCCAAGGCAGAGACAGCAAACAAGTGCTTCCATGACCCACAAAATCCAACACTGGTACAAAATCTGGCACTGGATTAAATGTGTACTACCTACAGTTAAAAATTTTAAGTTCAGGTCTCTGACTATCCCTCCTGACTTCATGGTACACTGAAACTCCTTTTTGGTCTGTCAGTTCAGTTTTGCTTCTTAAAGCAGGCTTAGCAATTTATACTGGCCAATAGCATACCTTTGTCTCTTCAGCGTACTGACAGTGCAAACACATACCCTACTGTCCTCCACAAAAATCTTTCACCTACATAAGTACACTCAGATACCTCCACCCACACCTACACAGAGACACACCCAACCTTCCCATTGCTGTATTCATACATATGCAAATAAGTAGATATGCTAATTGCAATACACCTACTCAGCTACTCACATACATAAGAGAGGTGGAGAGATCATGGCAAAGATAAATAGTGTGAAATATGTCACCAACTGAGGAGGCAGGGCACTGTTTCCCTGGGCAGACTACTGGGGTAGCAGGCCTTGGGCTAACTTACCTAGAGTTAGCCAAGGATGAGTGAATAGAGCAGGTTTAGACAACAGATAAGAGGTTCCAGTGACAGTTCACAGGTTTTCCTCATGAGAACAATTTGGAATTAATTCACTTGTCATATAGGAAAAGTGATTGTTTTGTTAGGAAATTGCCAGCTATATTACTGTATAGTAAGAGACAGAGTCATGTAAGGGATGGTTCCCAGATCCCTTACCTTGAGTTTCTCAAATCGATCATTCAGGGATGCAACCTGATGGTCTCGGTGACGCCCAACCAGTTTGCATAAGGCACAGATCAATTGGTCATCAGATACACAATACATGTTCACTTTCTCATTCTCATGGTCCAGGCAGGTGATCCCTCGAAGATGTGTGTCTGGCACTGGTTCTACCAGGCGGTGGCTGGTGAAAGGTTTCTTGTTGGGGTGTGTGGCCCGCAGGCAACGGTCACAGTAGGAGACCTCACAGGTGATGCAGGTTTTCACTGCATCCCTTGGCGGGTCCTGCTCACAGAACTGGCAAGCAATTCGCTCACTAGACATGGTGGTGCTGGGCCTATAAGTCCTCTCCCGGCGGCTCTCACTTGGGGAATTGGGCCCACTGACTGAAGCCTTCTGGAAACGGTCAATAATGTTCTGCAGGGTCACATTCCTCTTGAGGCCATCCAGACCCCGGTGGTTCAGCGAGATAACATACCTGCACGTGGGACACTGGAAAGCGGTAATGGGTTCTATGGATTCACCAGAGCTGCAGCTGGAGACCAAGATGCGGTGGGCGCAGCTGAAGCAGAGGCTATGAGCACAAGGGAGCAGAAGGGGATCTTCAAATAACTCGAGGCAGATTGGACAGGTCAATTCAGACTCCAGTGTTTCCATCTTTAGTGAAAATAATCCTGCTGAGGCATTAAGAACCACAGAGGCTGGGCTTTCACCTACAAAGAATACAAAGCAAAAGGTATTAAACATTTCCAAAGGAAAGGTGGATATAGCCTAATTATACAATAACCAGTGGAAGTTTTACATGCTGGACTCCCCGGGAGTTCAGGAGCAATAGGAAAGTGATTTGGGAATCATCAGAAAGCCTTTCTTCCCCTTCATATTTTGTTTCTGACGAACATCTGTGTTTAGTCCTGTACTAGTAAATAGAACGCAGTGGCCACTTCTGAATCCTGGGTTACTGATTGTTACTATTCCGAGTCACAACTCTAGTAGCATGAATCACTCTTTCACATATTCTCCACTGACATCTCTTTTCTTGGAGTATGATATACCTGAGGTGCTGCAAAATTCTCAATCTCCATTTTCCAATACTTCGCTATTTTACTTCAAGGTAAAATATAGGGGCTTGTTCCTATTTCACATACAATGGAAGGAGTACAAAGAACTATTTCAAACTAACTCTCTAGTTCATGAAATTATAGCATTCTGAGAGCATGCATAAAAAAGAAGAGTTTTAGAAAAAATGTGCCTTTGGTGCAGGATAATGACTTCTTCAGAGTATGGACCTGAATTACTTCCTATTACCGCACATGGAAATTTCTTTTTCATTTCATTTCTAGTAAACTGAGTTACCAGAAACAGAAAATGAGAGTTTTCACTTTCTTCCCTCACCTTCAGAAAAGAATGAGAAACGACTCCAGCTTCTCAACTTACTCAGCAATAGGTGGTCGATAAGGAAGACATATGGCCAAAGGGCTTCAGTTTAGTCTCTACTATTAGATAACCAGGGAAGTGGTGCAAGCTTAGAAGTTCACTCCCATGTGTCTCTTTATGCTTCTTACAATAGAACAAAATGCAAATCAAGAGCTAGATATAAATTAGAAGGTGAGGAACCTTCATAATACTGAGATCCTACATTTTAGTGTGCACTGCAGTAAAAGTCACCCAAGTGACAAGGAGCTAACCACTTGTTCTAACTATCTCTTTTCCTATGGACACTTCTGATTTGAACATATGTGTATTGCTACAGGTCTTCCACTGATTAAAACTAACACATACAAATATTCTGAGCTAGACTTAAATAAAGATAATACGTCATTTATAGGAAAGAAAAGTACATCTTTTGTTGTTGAATCTCTTTTGTTCATTGTCTCACTATCTTGGAAACCCTCATCAAAGCATGAGAACTATTCTGCCATGGATATTTGTACAGATTGTATCAACTGGCAGGGACTTGTACATACATAGCCTTCTCACAGAATGTTTAAATATCAAGTATAATTTATGCTTTGTACATATAAATACAATAGATGTGCCCCCAAAAGCTGGTTTTAAATCAAACCTTAAGTGTATGAACTAACTAGCAATTTTAATGGAAATTGGGTTGTAAAACCAAAGATTTTTTTTGTGAAGCAGTCTTCTCAATTGATTTGGTAAGTTCAGATGCTTTGATGACCATTTTTTAATAATGAAAGACTGGGTATTCTTGTTTTACAATTTTCAAGTGCCTGAAAAATGTTGGATACTATTTTGTATCTTATCACATCTAGCAGCTTTCACCCAAAGAGATGAAAAAGTAATGCAATTAAAATGTGCTTATATCACACAATTTTGGAAGTTAAAGGTATTTTAGCAACAATAGACTCCAACTTCCACCCAAGGTAGGAACACTGCCTTTAAGAGTTACTACTGATAACCCCTAGATGTTTAAAAATCCATGTTCATAAATGAACTTGCTATTCTCCCCAAACTACCTGTACCTATTCTAGTTTTTTCCTATGTTATATCACCATCCCAGCCTAAAAACCTAGCAGTTCTCTAATTTACATATTTATTACCTCAACCACTGGTGGCTTCCAGAACACTTATTTATCTGTGTCTCCCGCTAACTCTACACCTTGAAGGCATAAGCTATGCCTTGTATTTATTCATAATATGGTGCTTCTTACATACAGGGTTTCAGCTCTATAAAGAGTAACATAAGATGGTTAGAGTCTGTTGCTTATGGTAAGTAGTTTTTTTAATAATACTGTTTCTATTCTGTTGTGTTTGTCAATATAGTGACTGCTTTAGCCAGTTTTGGGGAACCAAGTGTTTTTTAAGATCCTTGAAACATCCATTCCTTTCATCTCTCATTTATGAGGCCACTCCTAATAGTTCAGCATCATTTCAACTATCCCCTATTTTCCCTACCTCCTTGAATACCAAAACAAGTTTTTCCTTAACATTTATTGGGCATTTATTTTGTACCAGGTACTAAATATTGTCTTTTAATGTATTTATATTCAATTTTCACAATAAACTTCCAAGAGTTGTACTATTTCACAACAAATTTTTTAGAAGGTAACTTGTCCAGAAGAAAACTGAGAATCCAAAAATAAAATCACCTACTTATTTATTTATGGTCAATTGACTTCTGTCAAAGGTTCCAATAAACTTTTCAATAAATGGTGTTTATAAATGATATCCACATGCATCAGGATGAGGTTGGAGCCCTGTCTCATACTGTATATAAAAATTAACTCAAAATGGATCAACAGCCTATATATAAGTGGAAACTGTGAAATTCTTGGAAGAAGCAAAGGTATAAGTCTTCATGAATTCAGTAATAAGGGTTCCTTATATGACAAATGCACATGCAACCAAAGTGGAGGGAACAAAAAAATGGGAATTCACAAAAAATTAAAATTTCTGTGCTGCAAATTACACCATCAAGAATGTGAAAAAATGATGTCACAAAAGGGGGGGGAAATATTTTCAAAACAAAGTTCTAGTAGCTAGAACTACATAAAACTCTTAAACAAAAAAATATTTAAAAACAGGTAAAGCATTTCAACAGACATTTCTCCAGAGAAAATATACAAATGGTCAGTAAGCATATGAAAAGATAGTATCATTGTCAATCAGGGGAATGCAAATCAAAACCACATTGAGATACCACTTCACGCCCATTGGGATGGCTGTGATTAGAAAAATAAGAAATGTCAGCAAAAGGATATGGTATCTTCATACATTGCTGGTAGAAACGTAAAAGCCCTTGCCTTGGGAAATTCTGTGTCAATTCCTCTAAAAGTTAAATGTAGAGTTACCATGTGATCTAGAAGAATTTAAGACATGCTCACTCAACATGAACACACATCAAACATGCATGCAGATGGTAGCAATATTCCTAATAGCCAAATGGTGCAAACATCCCAGGTGTTCATCAATTGAAAAATGGACAAATAAATGTAGTCCCTTTTTCAGCAAGAAAAAGAAAGTACTGATAGAAGTGACGACATGGATGATCTTCCAAAAACATTATGCTAAGTGAAAAAAGCCAGTCACAAAGGGCATAAATTGTATGATTCTTTTTTATACAAAATGACTATGAGCACAGAAAATAGATTAGTGGTTGATTGCTAGGGGTGGGAGGACCAAGGATGCTCAATGAGTTAATAGATATGCGGTTATTTGGAGGATGATGAAAATGTTCGTTGAGTAGGGGGCATGATTGTAAAATTTTATAAATATACGAGAAAAAAAAACTAAACACATTAAAGGTAAATACTATGGTATATGAATTATATATCAATTTTTTAAAAGATTCAAACCCATGTCTGACTCCAGCGTGTAAACAGTTAACCACTGTATTATGAGGCCAGATGTGTAATTATGCTGTGTTTCTAAACTTTTGGATTGCTTATTCCTTTCAATGGTTTTTCTAGGTCAGTGATTCCCTAGTCTAGGTTTTGCAATACTTCAAGATATTCCTAAAGATCTGTGAGTATCAGAAAATCCTCAGCTCCCCATTTTTACTCATTTAAGAAATATAAGACTCCTAAAAAAATTTGACTCCTAAATCACAACATACTTTTTCAGGAAGTGATATAGCAAAAAATAAAACAAGGCAGAGTGTTGTAACTTCAAAAAGTATATGAATCACTAATCTCTGCAGAATTAGCGAGTGTGTTAAGGATAAAGACAGGATCTGAACCTGATAGGGTATGACCTAATAACAGGTAATCATGAAGCTTTTGCCAGAAAACGCAATAGCCTATCATAATAAATGCATTGATTAAATGCCTAGGAGGGTGGAACAAGAGTTCGGTTTAAGAAACAGATGCCCGTGTCCACATACTCTGATTTGCTCTTCCCATATCATTTAGTTGCAGCCATGTAGTGAAATTAAGTACATTTATACATTTCACTTGTTCTGGTATAAAATCATTTTTATGAGGTTCATCTTCACCACACATCCCCCTTCAGACTGAGACCCAGAAAAAGAAGGCAATGAAAGTAAACTATAAGATGGCCTAAGACTGTATGAGTAGGTACAAATACGAAAGAGGACTTTTGATGCAGGTGATTGAAATAAAAAAAAATACATTCTATATTTACAAAATGAAAAATTGATTTCAGCACCATTCTCCAAATCCAGTACTCAGTTAACTGTTCAGAGAAACCATGATCTGCACTTGGCAGAATCCTATTATTTCAAATGCTATTTGTATGTAATTAAATGCCCATTTATTTCGACAGTTAATATTCCATCTAGCTTTCCTCTTATAGGTTTGCAGCATAGTTCTGGCCCCTCATTCCCTCGGGAGGAGCCATGGTCTGTCTCCCTTCCTCACAGAAAAAAAGCACAATTATGAAACCAAGCCTGACCTCTGGGGCTGTAGAATGAGGATTGAAATGAGTTGTTGGATTTGTTTAAAAAACAAACTAACATAAAGTAAACATTGTTCAGGATATTACTATTAATGTCCCATAAACTCTTCCTCTCAGAACCTTAGAAAATGCCTTCCCTGCTGTTAGGGGATGAGGGAATGAGTCCTGGCTTAGTCTAATGTCTCCTCAACTACAAAATGTTGTTCAAGTTGGACTAGAATCACCAGATGATCTCTTTAAGCCACTTTCCAGCTCTGGCATTTTATTATTACAAAGTTCTTGTTATCTGTTACCACATAAGACAGCACCTTGGATGACTGAAAAGGAGAGCTTCA